TGGTTATAAAAGATGCAGTAAGAAAAAACACACACAACTTTCAGTCTAGGAACATATGGCAGGTCTGATGTAACAGATTTCAAATACAGTAGAATGTTCCTTTTGCTGATGTACGATTTGAACATAAAACCTACCCCTCACCCAGAAGAGTTCTGCAAAAAAGAGATCCACAGTTTTATCTCATAGAGAGATACCCCTTTATGAGCCAAGAATGGGACTCCCAAGTTCTAATCTTGGCTCAATATCGATTCCCTCATGGCCCTGGGCAAGTCAATCTCTTTAACTTGCTCTTTCCCCCAGCTTTAAAGCAGAGTTCATTACAACTTTATTTATCAATCGTGCTGGCATGTTGCAAGTATAAGTTTTGTAAAAATACTTTAAAAATAAAACATACTACAAGAAGCTGCTAATATCATTATGCATTAGACATTATTTAAAAGAAAGTACAGCAATGCCAAGATAGTTAATAGAKCTAGTATTTGCAGCACGTGTATAATACAGGGAACCTATAATCAGGATCTGTTTGAACTCGCTTGCAAGACAGTGAGAATTGGAAAGGACTACATTCCACTACTTTATTCCTACTGTTTCTTTCCATACTTTTTACATTGTAGAAGTCTACTGATCTCCTCAAACATTCATATGTCTTGTTACTTAGGGCACTTCCATAATATATATTTCAAGTCAAAAGAAAACCAAGAAGGTGACATTTACTATGGAAAAGGAACTCACAATGTAACACAAATTGTAAAGAATATCTTAGTCTTTACAGTTTGTCACTTTTCCTCATTCTCTATCCACTCTTTCACTTGACAACCTAGCACCCCAACTTCTTAATAACAGAAATTGGGCTACTCACGCAAATATTTTCAGTGACTCTAGCTCCAAAAGTACCACTGCTCAAGTCAAAAGCACCCAAACAAAGCATTAAATTAAGCATGTGCTTGGGTATTTTTCCCGACCCAAGGCCAGCATAATCAAGCCTTGAGAAACAGGAAATTGGGAAGCTTGAATCTTTCTTGGTTAGTTAACACAAGCTAAAGGAAAAAAAAAAACCTATATATATTGATTTCCACAGAAGTTAAGCTTCTATTTAAAACCAGTCAGGGTGTACGCTGCCGTAGTCTGCCTGCCTTCCTCCCTCCGTTGATGTACGGCTCCAAGGGTCCTACGGAGGCCTTTGGCTCCTAGAAAGCACCACCAGTAAGTTAAGACCAACTGTACAGCTCATTTACATCAGCACCGTTCAGAACTCTAGAACACTCAGTTTTCAAAAGAGCCCCAGCGGTTTCATGGTTCTGCAGGATGGAAAAAGGACCCAATCCGTAGTTAAAAGAGTAACAGGACAGGACGCCCCAAAAAGAAAGTGACAACGTAGTCCAGCCTTGTCCCCTGTTATCAGCTACAGGCAGAGGCCCTTGAGGTCTGGAATAGTAATAAAGAAATTCTATTATCAGATAGAAAACAGCATCAATGTGTGACAGCAGTTCTACTACAGCTGCACAACTGTATTACTGCTAATCAGCTCATTGGTTGTAAGCACCCAAGTCCAAAGCCGTACGTAAAATAAAAACAATAATATCCTATCTTTAAACAAAATTATGAATATCACATTTTATTCATACACAGAATAATTCTAATCTTTAGAAGTATCAAACTAATAAATTTTCTTAAGTACTAAAATTCATTAAAAAGTGAGAGTGGAGAAAAGACGGGGACAGAAAGAAGAGGGAGGTTCTGGACTTCAGTTTCCCCTAAGCCAGTAGAGAAAACTGCCCAGGGCTGCTGGCTGCACATTGTTTTTCCTGCGTATCCACAGCCCTCCAGTCTGCTCCTTTCTTTACGAAGGCACCTTAGAGATTATAAAGCAATGACTGCACTATATACACACACACAAATACACAGCAGAAAACATACACATTCACATAGATTTTGTATGTTGTTGAGCAACAACATAAAATATCTGTGAGTAGAGAAACCAAATGTGAACTCTGAAGTAAACAACACTGCTGATGGAGAAGCTCATAGACTTTAGTTTTGAAATTGCATTATAGCACTGCAAGAAAAGACAGTATTTTGAAAAAGGATTTTAAAATATACAAGTCACTCTACAAGATGATTCTACCATGTCAGTGATGACCTCTAGACACTTTATACCCCAAGATTAACCTCTTACAACATAAGTGTTCCTAATCTTGGTTATACTTTTCCCACAGACTTTTCTGAGCATCTGTAGCAGAAAACACTGACTCAATGTTTTAATAAACTCACAGCTTTTTCTATGTCTTATCAGATCACTGAACGTACCATATTTCAGATTATTATTTGAAGTCCTTTGAAGCAAAGAACTTGACATATTTATTTGCAGCCACAGCTTCATAAGATGCTGCATCTATATTTGAAGTGGCACATATAAGAGAATTATACCTGCTTCCTTCCCAGGTCTTCACTAAGAAAACTATAATATAAGGTCATTTGCACATCTTCATTACCCTAATCTGTCCAAACAGACCATCAAGCTCCAAACACAGGCCCTGAAAAGACCAAATTCTCATCTTCAAAGTTATCAAAAATGGGAAACCATTAGTAAGGCACAGATAACCCAAAACAGTCCAGTTTAAGAAAAGATATACCAGAATCCAGTAAGGTCACAAGAACTGGCCCATTAGCTCCCTAAATGTCTCTGATTTAGTCAGTCAATGTTTGTTGCACAATCAGCTTGACGCAATACAAAGCTTTATTATAAAAGCAATATTTGACTGTTGATCAAATTTATTTTCCATGTGCTCCTTTTAAGAAAAAAATAGCAACTTTTTGTCAAGTCTTAGGTAGTAAAACTTACCAACATATTATGGCCTGCTTTTCATTTACATGAAATGCTAACTGGACTTCAGAGAGTTAGAAACAGTAAGACAGGGTTTGAAAACAAACTACAACCCATGTGCTGCACAATGGTGAAACCTTCCATAAGGATTTTCTGAGTTGTAGTAAACATTTGTGTGAAAAGCAGTATGTTAAGCATCTCATGTCAAGCTATTTCGTGATATAAGCCTTGAAAGCTTCTATAAGCACACTGCCTTAACTTTTAAGCATGAACTTGTGCACACAGATTTGATGCAGAGTAGATGTACAAGTTTCCTGAAAGCCGGATACTTCAGCTATGTAAAAAAGCGTAACAGAAACATTAAAATTTGTTCTAAAAAAACCCTTTCCCATATTACACCTCGTCATGTAAGAAGCCAATTTCCAGATTTTATGTATTCAGTCATGTACACATGCTTATTTTAAAAGTCATGACATTCTTCTGCACTCTTAGGTTTTTTTTTTTTTTTTAAAGCATGCAACAAACAATAAAAAAAAGCAAGTGTTTAGAAACTATATAGTGTTACTTTGATCTTGCAAGACCTCCAAAGGAGCAATTAGGCTTAAAGCCTGGCAACACACTGCTTGGAAGTTCAGCACACTTCAGCGTGTGGCTGTGGTTTGGAAACATCAGTTACTCGGAAAAACGGTCCAACTGGACATGACAGTAGCATTTTTGCCCTAATCGACTTTATAATGCAGTATTAGTGAGAATGCAGATATCGTGGTACACTAATAGCCTTTGAATCCAAAAAGCCCTTTGATACACTGTGGTAATAAATAAACAAATAAATAAAGCTTTTCCACTCTATCAACTTACAAGCTTCGAATTAAGCACTGAGATTTCAAGATCCTAATTTTACAGATTTTTTTCCCTAAATTAGCAACATGACCCTTTGAAATTATTCATACAGAGAATGATTCTATACAATAAATAACCAGAAAAAAAATTATGCCAGTTAAAACTTAGATATAGAGAGCAGCTGACAGAACTCATAGAACTACATAGCATCACCCAACAAAACAGAATATTACACAGAAAGGTAGCGTGCAGTAACACAGTATGGTTTCTGGTCTACCTTATGTAGCAAGTGCACTGCTTTGAGGTTGATGAGGAGTTTTGATTTATTTTTTTTTTTTTTAACTAAGATCCACTGAGAGAGATGACATACACACACCATTGATTTCATTAGGTACTACTAGTACAATTTAATTACCTGTTCTTTGTATACTGCACTCAAAGTAATGAATCTTAAGAACACAGATGTTACTACATATCGTGAAARAGAGATAGGAAGCTGGGGTAGATTCACACAGGTATTTTTCAGTTAAAAATGAAACTGAAATGATACAACCGGGTTCAAAGTAATAATAACCATATAACCTTACACCTCCAAATCTAGTGTATTTCAGGAGGGACAGGAGAGTTCTCAGAACATAAAGGTTTCTTATCCTGCCCTTAACTCAGCCACAGAAATCAGGACTAGACTCCCTGCCCAAAGACGCTCTGCACTARGCACGATACTAGCTACTACAGAAGCTGCAACCCTACACACATCAGGGTGAGGTAAGGACATAGCAAGACTGTCTTTATATAGTATCTCCAACAGCAAAAAACACATTTGAATCTTCAGATTTCTGAGTTTTAATGCATTCAATGTCTGACTTAAAGGAAAAGAATGTAGTTTTCTTGTCTTCTATCTGCTGCTTCTCTATTCATCAGCACAAATCATACGGCAATGGGGGCACGCAGGGACAGAGAGAACAGCAGACTGAGGTTCTATTAACTACCTGAAACACTAACTTGAAAGTAAAAATGCATTCTGTGAAAAATGAAATAGTAGCGTATCATTTGATAAATGTTTCATTATCACACTGGGGCAGTTTGCAGCTTCACCTACATTAGCATTGTAACAAAGATTGCAAATAGAAGGGATTTCAAATTATTGCTGTTAAAAAGTCATTTTGGTCACCTGAATGGTGGTGAAATGCTACTATTCAACTATTCAAAAATCAGACAGTTCTCACTGTTGAATGTAATACCTTTTCCACGGTTCATAATTAAATAGCAARAGATCTTATTTGGACACTTTTCTCCCTAGAAGAACCAGTCCCAAAAAAGTCGAGCCTTTACTTACCTGGTGGTAACTGAAAATTCTGAATATTAGTTGGATTCTGAGGTGGCTGAGGCAAACGAGGTGCTAAAACTGTAGGAGTCAAAGTTGCTCTGATTCCACTTGTAGTTGCTGTTGGAGTCCTTGGCARACTTTGTGCCACTGTATTGGCAGTGCCTTTAGCTATTCCCGTGGGGGTGCCAGGAGCTGCAGGAGATATCCCACCAGGATTGGGAGCAACATTGGAGAGGCCAGCTTGCATAGTTTGCCCAATAATCATGTTACCCCCTGTAGTACTGGGCTGGCCCCCAGTAGCCAGCGTCTGCTGTTGGGTTACTGCCTGGACTATGGTTTTTGGAGACTCAGATTTGATGACCTGCGTGGCGGGAGCTGCTGGCACGCTGGAACCAGACTGGCTGTTCACAAGCGACGTCTGGAGGGCAACTCCAGATCCCACAGTGGCTGTAGCAACAGCAGGGAAACTCCCCACACTGATGGTTGAATTGATCACAGTATTGCTCCCRTTTTGAGTGGCTGCACCAGCTGCAGCTACCGTGGGTCCTGCTGGGTGAATTGGTGGCCTCACCAGTGTCACCGTGGGCCCCCCACTTCCAATGGTCGGTGGCGGCTGCGAGGAAATAACTGTGGGCGAGGAAGAAGATGCAGACGACACAGCAGTATTAAGGAAAGAAGTCTGGATGACAGTGTTGGAAGCTGATGGCAAAACAGCATTAACAGTATTTCCTTTTCCAACAGATCCAGGTCCATTGTTAACTAGAGGGGCAACAGCAGGTGCAGAAGCAGGGTTAGCAGTGGCGGGAGTCCCGGAGAAAGCAGCACTTCCTGTGTGGTGAGAGTTCATCACCACGTTACTCCCATTCAAAGTCTGCACTGTTGTGGTCCCAATCTTGCCATTCCTGGTAGACAAGGCAGTTGCCATCGTGCTGATAACCACCGATTTGCCCTGACTGAGGGTCCCTGGAGCAGCAGTAACCTCAGATCCTCCTGCTGCTGCTGCAGCTGCAGTGGTGGTGCTGGTGCTTGTCGTGGTGGCTCCATCCAGAGCTGAACTCTGGGACCTGGTGTTATGGTTAATGACGCCTCCTTGCACTCCTCCTGCTCCTGCAACAACAACAGCAAGGTTAAAAAGACAGAAYGAGCAGCAGAAATCCAGTGAAGACAGAATGCTCTCCCTCTCCATCAAGCCTTCTCCATCTCCCAAATTGCCTGCCAGGAGCCAAGGAAATGAAACAGAGTATAAACTGAAGAAGAATGTAAAGAAATTATCTCAAAGCCTCCAGTTTCCCACTGGAGATCGGTAGATCCATTATTAATTGTAGCACCCTCACTATCATCACCGCAGCAAGAAAAAAGAGGGAAAACAGATTTGATATGAAGTGAGGGGGGAAAAAAGGAAGGCAGATCTCCTCCTTAGACCTCTTCCCCATTCTATGGGCCTGACACTATGTTTAATAACACACCTGCAATTATAAGGGGTGAAAAATGGCATTGGGAGACACTTTAATAAGACACATCCCATATGCCCAGCACATGCTATCCCCCTAGCACCATCCACTGCCATGCAAGTCAGTTAGGGCAGGAGGYTCCACAACAGCAAGATGCAAAAGAGAAAAGAGAGGAAAAACACCATCCTGACAAGATAAAAGTAGTATAAAGCCTGGAACAAGTTCTAAGACCAGCCCTCCACTTCACTGCAGCTTTTCTTCTTCTGGGTCTGAGGTTCCCACTGCCAGAGACAGCTAAAAATAAATAAATAAAAAGCAAGRCTGATTTTGAGAAAGGATAAGGTGATGTTGCCACTTGTCCTGAATAACCTCATGCCCCTTGATGAGGCCTGGTGTTATCAGTGGTACAATCACAGASAGTCTGGGTCCTGGCCCTAAGGAGACAGAAATGGGGAAAGAAGAGTGACAGGCAGACACGGAGATGCATGTTACGAGGGTTAAGGAGATCCTCCTAGAAGAGCTTCATTAATCACAACAGAAGGTCTATAATATCTTCTTACACTTCAGCATCACGAAAGAAGCATTAAAAAAATGGGGGGAGGGGAGGAATTGCAGAGAGATTGTGGGGAGACATTTTTTTTAAAAATTATAATTCCCTTGGAAGAAAAAAAAAAGCAGCTTCCCTCGTTTCCCAAGGAGTGACCCCTCGGTGCTGCGGTTACCACCGTGCCCCTAAGGTCTCCACGAGGGCAGCGTGTGCAGGCAGRCGGAGGGAGCGGGAGCCGCTGCCCAAGGTGGGGTGTCACGGCCCCCATTCCCCCCCCCGGTGGTCCCGGTGTTGTCACGACACCCCCTTGAGGGCACAGGGGGAGCGGGGGGTGTCGAACACCCCCCACGAGCCCCCGAGCCAGGCAGAGCGCGGGGAGTGGGGCACATCCTGGCGGGCAGACACGGGGGGAAAAGCAGCTTTTGGAGGGACTTCCTCCCCTCGGAGACCCTCCTGGGCCCTCTCCTCGCTTCCTCCCGCACAGGAAATCGGTGTCGTGATTAATAACAACCCCCCGCACCGGGCAGGGCGCGGGGGAGGGGAGGGCGCCCGCACGCAGCGCGCTATTGCGCGGGGATCCCCCCCGCGGGCGCCCCGCGCGCGGCGG